TCTGTTTCCATGGTAACCGATACACTGTGCTGTGACTTCAAGTCTCCTGGTCCTTCCATTGTAAGACGAGCTAGGTTGGCACAGAGGACCCCAAGCCAATCTTTCACTTGTTTATTCTTCGGCAGATCAATTTAACCTCTTCAAGGCTAGCGTTAGACAAAGCCCTTGGTATCCTGAACCCCAGAAACTAGTAGAATGGCACAACTGTAATGACAGTGTAACAAGGGTAAAAAAAACCTTATTGGTTAATAGTGAGAGATACAAATGTACACATACTAATTCAGACATGCTTCACTTACCGACCAGGTTCCGTTCCTACGATCCAGTAGAAAAACGAATTGGTCGGTAAGTGAGGAGTTAAGGGATTCCCTGCTCTGCTGTGTTCTTCTATGTTCGGGGAAATGTCTCTGAACATAGATTAGAGGGATTCCCTGCTCTGTTGCATTTGTCTATGTTCGGGGAAATATTCCATTGGAATTCTCTGGGACCATAAATGTTAATTTTAACCCAATTTGTTTCCCTTACCATCTTTTTGATAGACTTATAAATAATATCTCCTTCTTTCATATTCAACAAGGATGAGTAATAAGGTGAAAGGTATTTGCATTTGCCTTTGAGGATACCTGAGACATAGCAAACACAGAAACGCTAGAGAGAGATAACTGTGAGCGCTAGACAGAGATACCTGGTGTGGTGACATTCTGTCATCAAATTAATATGGTGTCCAGGGGTCATGTGACCACGCTCTTGTATGCTCTTCTTACAGGGGGATAAGCTTTACTCTTTGATATGGTAATTATGTAATTCAATACCTTTACAAGTCAGGAAAAAAATAACCACTTTCCCCTATCGCTTTTCCTCACTGTTACTTCTTGGCTGTGCTACTGAACAGACATGTGAGCAGACACGAGCTAAGGTTATCATGGTGAGCTGTGAGTGGGATCTGATGACTTTATAAGGCTTAGTTGTTATTGTTAGTTAGATTGTGGTTGTTGTTACTGACTTAGTAACATTGTGTCATTATTTTTGTTGTTGTTGTTTTGTCTCTGAATAAATGTTTGTTAAAGTAGACGGAGCAGAGTTTATATGTGTATCCATACATAATTTATATGGTTTGATAATTCACAACACCTGGGAGAGCTAGAGAGAGATAAATGAAAGTGGTAGGGAGAGATATCTGGGAGAGATGGGAAGAGATAACTGGAACTAACTGGATAACTGGAGTGAGATAACTAGGAAAGCTAGAGAGAGTTAACTGGGAGAGCTGGAGAGTGTGATAACTGGGAGAGCTATGGAAAGATAACTGGGAGAACTGGAGAGTGAGATAACTGGGAGAGCTATGGAAAGATAACTGGGAGAGCTGGAGAGTGAGATACCTGGGAGAGCTATGGAAAGATAACTGGGAGAGTTGGAGAGTGAGATAACTGGGAGAGCTATGGAAAGGTAACTGGGAGAGCTCTGGAAAGATAACTGGGAGAGCTGGAGAGTGAGATAACTGGGAGAGCAAGATAATTGAAAGAGAGCGGGATGGAGATAAGTGGGAGAGCTAGGGAGAGATAACTGGGAGAGCTAGTGATAAATAACTGGGAGAGTTAGGGAGCGATAACTGGGAGAGTTAGGAAGAGATAACTGGGAGAGTTAGAGTGAACTTCTAGACTGTGCAATATGCAACATTCTACATAAAACTATACTAATAAGTAGTAATGGGTTTGTAGACACTGGTGGTGTAACTGCTAAGTTTCACACATGACCTAAAGTAAAAGCCATTTCAGTTGGTCACACATCATTTTGGCTCATTGGATAATGGCTTGCTCCACCTGCAAACAAGAAAGAAGTCCCCTAAAAACATGCGTGTATTTATACATGTGTCCTGTGCCCCATCTGTGGTTTAGGGGGTACAGAATCAAACAACTTTAGCTTATTCAAGCAGTTGTGTTGTATAATATCATACCCTACAATCTCACTGCTAAAGGATCTGCAATTTGGGAGTTAAATTGCTTTGTTTATGCACCGTAGTCACACCTTCCTGACTGAGACTCATGTAGCTTCCCTTACATACTTACTGAAAAAATCAACGTTTGTGTAGCTTACTTTACTGCACAGTGTGTTTAATTTACAATTTACTGCTCTATTTATAGCCTGTCTGTGCCTGAGGAAACCTCCTGTGTGTGATTCATGTTCAATTCACAGAACACAAGATAAGAACTTCTTAACCAAAACACACTGTGCTGTAAGGTCTGATTAAAAATAAATCCTTTTTTTTTTCATGTAGACTATGTGAGTCACAGCCAGGGGAGGTGTGGCTCTGACTTCATAAACAGAAACAAAAGTAATTTAACTCCTAAAATGGCAGCGAATCGACCAGTGAGACTACATGAGCTATACACCAAAACAACTACATTAAACTAAAAATGTTTTGTGCTAAGATAGTCAATTTAAGCCAATTCGAAATGTAAAATAAACAATTTAATATATAGAAAGAAAATATTAGCAATTTGGAAAAAATGGGAAAAAAAAGAAAAATGTAAATCACAATTTTCCATAAGTAAATGCAGAATAGATTATTCTCATCATGAATCACATATTGTAAAGCAAATGTATGAATGGGGAAGAAAAAAGCATGAAATTGGGTCCTGACTCGGGGCAGGAAGATTAGGGTGATTATAATCTGCTTCCTGGTTTTTCAATATGTCCCTGCGACTTCCACATTGAGAGCTAATTACAGTACAAAATTCAGCATTCTTCGCATTCAGCTCTGCTGGGCTATTTTGTTAGATGTTTCTTAGGTTTTGAGATAATGTGATCGAGCTCTGATGTCCAATAACGCACAGCTGCACAGTGACAATAATTTCCCTGTCTCATCATTTGAAGGTAGAGAGAGCAGGATTAACCACTGAACGATCACTTCTGGATGAATGCGTCGGAAACTGCAAAGTTCCTGGAAAAAGAAAATATCTTGAGTATCTACTTCACTCGTCTTATGACAGCATCTTATCTTCTGCATATTTCCTAAAGCTGTCTTCTTTTTTTTTATTGTTGGGTTTAATAGGAATAATCATTTTCACTACCTATAGCGGTTTTGAAGCTATTTCATCAGTGATTCATATTAGGCACATAATATTAGCTTAGTACCCTTTTCTGCAGTTGCAAAGTTAACCGAGTAAGCCAGCGACCCATTCTTCGCGTGTAATATATAATGACTAAATAATGTTTGCAAAAAATCATGATTTTGCTGCTGAGTGACAAAGGGTCTCTTTCTTTCCCCTGGAAAAGGCAATACTGCTACAGTAAATGATTTCTCATGGGCTATTGCCTGGGGCTTTATGAAGATGATATTCCTGTGTTAAACCATTAAAATCCACTGAAATAATGTGGGATGTGGTTATGGGTCTAGACCCAAGAGTGAAGCAATGTTGGCTTTGCACCTCCCACAGCATTTGTCACTAAGTCAAAAAGTGTAATTTTAGTCTTATCACCTTGTCTCCTTCATGTCTTCATGCACATCCAAAATGGTTTTTTTTTCAGAAATGCTTTTCTTCCCACCTTCTGCCCATGAAGTCCAAATTTGTGAAATATCCAGGTTATAGATGTCCCTTCGATGGTTTGTCTTTTTTTATCTACAGGTTCATCCAGCTTTGTAAGGGTCCCCTTGACCTTACTACTCCTCCACCTAATGTCTTTCTAACTAAGTCATTGAATTTTGGTGCACAGCATTCTCAAGACAAAATATATGTATTTTTTAAATGATGGATTTAACATTGCTACAAGGAATATTCATGTACTGGGATATTTATATTATAACCCAACCCTGACTGAGGTTTCTCCAGAACTTTATCCCCGGACTTGTTTTGATGGCTAATTGATCTTCATGCTGCTGTTTGTATGGTTATGTCTATTTGTTTTATAAAAATACCTTACAATGTACGAAGCATTAGGTGTCCTATGTAAATCAAACAGTACAAATCCCGAAATTCCAAATTGTAACACAACAAAATGTGAATACCTTCACTAGTTAAGACACTGTATACTTTCTACTACCTTTTTTCTACTACATAATATATTGTATATTTTGTATAATTTATATTATTTATACATTTATAAATACACTGTTATACAGCAGTGCTTTATATATCGGTGTTACCTAAATTGTGCTAGGTCTGTATTTCTTGAAACAAAATACTTGATCCCAGTGCAAGCCTCACATTTAGCCGTGTGCAGACCCTATCTCTAGACCTTATTCTTTACACGCCCAACTGTGTGAATATACAGATAGCAAGATACTCACTAAACCTAGAAATGGATGCAGTTAGTTTCACGCTGCATTGCTATGACATATTTCCAACCTTGCCAACGCGCTTCGCCTGCATACAAAGAAGAATCAATATTGTTCACCAGTTCTCTTTTCAGTCTTGGTGTTATGCACAGTTTGCAAATCTCATTTCAAATATTTATGGGACAAATGAATGATACTTGAATATATAAAATTATAATTTTTATTAGGACATTCACTGAAGTGTGTGTTGTTCGTATTCAAAGTAATTTTAATAAGGTCACAATCGGTGAATCATAATAATTCTCCATGTTATTTTTCAGTTCAGAAATTTTTCAAGTCCATGTACCTTTACTTTTTTTGGTCCCTGGACAACAATGTCCACGTATAACCAGGGTTTTGTGTTGAGTTCCTAGTTCTCTGAATGCAGTATTTTAAACAGATTCTACATATAACATGGACTAACAATCACTGGGGCTCTGATATCTTTACTTTCTTTTTTTTTTTGCAATGTACCTGAAGGTGAAAGAGTTTCAACATTTTTATTTCTATGGAACTAATCCACAAGCTAGACATTGTGGCCATCTTCTGTGACAATAAATACTAACATGTTTTGTTTTTGTTTTTCCTGCAGTTTTCGGTGGCAGACAAGACAACAGCAGCATTGTCCTTCCTGTTATTTTCGGCATCATATGCTTGGTGGGAACTATTGGGAATTGTATTGTCATCTACACCATTAACAAAAAGCAGAAGGGCAACCACAACATTGCGGATATTTTCATTGTAAGCCTGTCCGTGACCGACCTTCTCTTCTTACTCGGAATGCCTTTCCTCATTCACCAGTTGTTGGGCAATGGTGTGTGGCACTTTGGTGCCACTATGTGCACTATAATCACTGCCCTGGATGCCAACAGTCAATTTGCAAGCACCTACATTCTCACCGCAATGTCTGTAGACCGTTACCTTGCCACTGTCCATCCCATTCGCTCTTCATATGTAAGGACAACTTGTGCGGCAAGTATGGTAATCTTGATGTTGTGCCTTTGTTCCCTTATTACCATCATACCAGTATTCATGTACACCCAGCTGATCGAGCTTCCGGATGGCAAAGCTGGTTGCGGGATTATCCTGCCCAATCTCTCCATTGACATCTACTGGTATACACTCTACCAGTTCTTCTTGGCATTTGTCATACCACTTCTTATCATATGCATTGTTTACATCAAAATACAGAAACATATCTCCTGCGTGGTTGTCCCATTGCCACAAAGGAATTTCCGGGCTCGATCCAAGAAAATCACTAGAACCTCTGTAACGATTTGCTCTGCGTTCTTCATTTGTTGGGCACCATATTACATCTTACAGTTGGTCCACCTAAAAGTAGCACATCCCACGGTCATGTTCCTTTATGCCTACAATGTAGCAATCAGCCTTGGCTACGCAAATAGCTGCATCAACCCCTTTATCTATATTGTGTTAAGCGATACCTTTAAAAGACACCTGATTAAGGCTGTTTGCCCAGGGCACCAGGCACGTAGAAATGCTAGACTAGCAGCCAGTGATGTTAGCCCTTCTGTGAGGATCTGTTCTGTGCCAACGCAAGAGACGTCCCTGAGTATGATGTACTCTCATAACATAGACAATTACATTTCTTTGTCTGTGTCAGTCCCTTGAACAAGACTATTTAAGAAAGTCAAAAGACAATGCAAAATTGGAAAGCTTTGATTATAAAAGGTGACAAACAAAACAAGGCATACAATTCTCGTTTTCTACACCTAGTGCCACAAGGAATGAAGATATAACTCCAAAGTAGCACTTATGAAGGAGAGAAACTAAGTTAACTTGCTTAGTGACAATGTATGTTAAAGTCTTATAGAAGGCATGAACATGACGTCGCATTCTTTGGCCTTCACTACTGAAAAATCATTGGGTAACTGATAAGAAATAACATAAGGTCACTGTGTCAGCCATTACAAATTTTGTAATGAATGTGCAATTAACACTTCTGATTAATTGGTTATATATTGTGTCAATATGTTGTACTCTTTTATTTGCAGTTATATTGCAATGTATAAAGATGAACATTTTAATGTTCATTGTGAGGTTAAGTACTACATAATCAGGTCTGGATTTATCTCCGAGGTAGTCCGGTATCAAGTAAAAAAAAAAAGTTAATTTTAAAATTGGGAGTATTAGGTAATTTCTTTCTTGTTGAATGAAGGGCAATGGTATTTTATTTGCATTTACTGTTGGGAGCAGAGATTATACCCAGTAGAAATTTAAAAAAACACACAAAGAGACCACAGAGAATACAATGAAAGAGATGGATTGTCGGCTTCATGTAGATATAACACATTTCTATGATTCCCCTCTATGATATTTTCTATAGAACAAGCTCTGCACACGGGGAAAAAGACCTATTGGTCTCCAGGATACCGGAATCTCAATAAATGGTGTAATCATACAGTAAAGATGTTTGGGCAAATACATCTCCCAACCCGAAAATACATCTTGTGATGTAAACAGAAATGACCAGGAACACAGTCCATAGTTTCTAATGTAACATAGGTGTCTTTATCTTGCTTCTTCTTTTGACTGGGCTCTGGTAAAAGTAATCAAATCAGGTTTCTCAGTGTCTGTCGGAGATTGGTAGAGAAGGACTAGGGCAGTGGAGATGTTGTGGACTACCCTCTCCCATAATGCTCTTACAACCATAATGCTGGCAAAATGGAGATGTAGTCCATAAAATCTGGAGTGCTGGAGGTTGTCTACCCCTGGACGAGGGGAGGAATATTAGTGTCATCAGGGCTATTTGTTCCTACTCCTTAACAGTGCATGTCAGGAGTCTATGGAGTACTAGGGGATGTAGAGCTTGCAGAAGGCTGGAGGCACTGTGTCAGCCATTATACATTCTTTTACCCAGATAGATATGACATTGAGTACACAAAGAAGCATATACATTTAACCAGAGGTTGGCAACCTTCAGTACTCCACATGTTGTGGACTATACCTCCCATATTGCTCTTACAGCCATGCTAATGGAAAAGCATCAGTGGCGATGTAGTCCACAACGTCTGGAGTGCAGAAGGTTGTCTACCTCAACACTAAACTATGGAAAATACAAGTTTAAGAATAAAAAATTATAAATAAAATAACATGAATGTTTATTTAAGAAGGTGGAAAAAAAATTAAACATTACTCTCACTTCAAAGTTGTTCTTTGGGCATAGGCAGGAGTGGCCATTGGCAGGAAGGAGCAGGATAACGGTAAGACTGGGCTGAATGGTAAAAGTTGGTTTGAGTTTTAGTGACAACCACTCACCTTCTCTACATATGTTGCTCTAGCCAGCTGGCAAATTTCCTTTCTGGGAAATCCAATATATAGAGTTGTTGATGCTCAAGCATATTGTGATCATTTGTGAAAAAAAAATAAAAAAAATAGTTGTTTTGGAAGATGACAAAATAATAACTGCCAACATTCACTGTGAAAGTCATATGTTTGTCTTTAAATGTAATGTATCTGATATTAAACATGAGGAAAAAAATGCAAAAAGCTGAAAAGCTTGGAATGTAAAATATTCATTAAAATCCAAAATGTTTGAGTCATTAAGAAATGAGTTTATTCTGTGTGTTTCAAGGACAAAAGACAATGTTTATTTATTTTCAGTCAATACCAAACAGGTTTATTTGAGAGCTAAACTCAGGAGCAGACACGATACCTCACATAATAATATATTGACTAAAGGACGTGTTTGACAAGGCATGTGTGTGGAGACAATGTGTCAGGATTTTGCCACCATTGATGGGCTTTGCTCTTTGTTAAATTTACATTATTTGGAGCATAGTTTAATTTATAATCATATTCATATTCAAAATTGGGCATCGTATTCATACAAAATTCTAACAGGGTTATTCACTAATGTCTAAATGACCCCATACTGAACAAAATGTCTCCATACTACTGATCAAAATGGCTCCATACTGAGCAAAATGGCCCCATACTGAGCAAAATGGCCCCATACTGAACAAAATGGCCCCATACTACTGAGCAAAATGTCTCCATACTACTGAGCAAAATGGCTCCATACTGAACAAAATGGCCCCATACTGAGCAAAATGGCCCCATACTGAACAAAATGGCCCCACATTGAGCAAAATGGCCCGAATACCGAATGCATACAGGGCCATTTGGACTGCAAAATCCTGACAGTATGAACAGTATTGATTTTGCATTGCATGCTCTCAATAAGCCTGAATTTAGTCTGGATTTCAGACACACCAAATGCCTCTAGACCGCTTAAATCTGGAGCTGAAGTGTTAAAACCCAGACCAAAAGGCTTTAACTCTGTGCCCGGATTTTAAATATCCAAAACCTTTATGCTGCCAGCGGGCAAAGAGTGCTTGATGTTATCATTTACTTACAAAAAGCAAGTAGAGAAACATTTACGAACATGCATTCTGATGGATCTATTCAGATCTGGTTTCGTTTAAAATCGGTGTTTTAAGAATATGCCGAATCCCATTTCTATGAGAAATTAGCAATTTTTAAATTAATGTTAATAAAACACCCATGGCTGTTAAAGGAACCCTATAGCGTTAGGAATACAAAACTGTATTTCTAACGCTATAGTGTCCTCTGCCTCTGTGGCCCCACACCCGGTGATTAAAGGGTTAAAAAAAAACTATTTTTTCACTTACCTCTTCCTATACTGATGGAGAATCCTAATAGTGATCTGGGAATAGCGAGCATGCACATGTGAGCTACTCCATAGGAAAACATATATTTGCTTTTCTATGGGGATTTTGAAGAAAAAACCTAGGTATGCCTCCAGTAACACTAGTTTCTCTTCATGTAATGGATCTATAAAAGAGGTGGTCTAGATCCGTGGCTAATATGCCCATTGCTTACACCACTTTATGATCTAATCAAACACAGTTTATATAATTTTAAACGTACAGAAGAAAAACACAAATTTTCAATCATCACGGTACAAAATGGACCACCCTTACATGGTCCACCCTGCTTTCGGTTGGATAAATATTTTAAAGAGAAAAAATATCCCCGGGATATACTAAGCAAATCATAATATAAAAAGGAATTAAAAAATTCCACTGTTTCCATCAATTCATCAAATAAGCCATTAATCAAAAGAAAACGTAGGAGAGCACATTGAAAATCCATGTGAGCACCTGCTGAAAGCCCGTGAGATAGGGTAGGGTGTTAGACGATTCATAATAGAATAGTGGATCAAGGGACAATATATAATTCCTTTTACAATGCCATGTTAGTTGTACTAAAAAACTATAGACTTGTAGGCATGACGGTCCTTTTAAACGCGAGCCATTGATATAATATGATTTTCTTTCAAGAGAAAATGATCTATTGTCCTGGCAACGTGAATGTACAGAAAGCACGCAACAGGTAATTGGTTATTTCTACAATAATCATTGCTATTCACAGGGAAATCTATAGACACAGCGGTGAGCTATGCGACTCGGTATAAATGGAAGGAACCAGTATGAGGGTACTGTGATTTTAATGTATAGGTTGGCTGAAGTTGTTGGACATAATGTATGAAAAATGCATGTATTTTACTTTATGCACATTTAATATCTAAAAAAATGGAGTGGTTTATTCATTACTAAAGTATGAACAGCTATGCATTGCTTCGATTTACTTTATATTTTTTTTTGCTTGTTGTAAACACTGCCTTCACTATTGGCCCAAAAAATTATTATTATTATTATTATTAGAGAATAAAATTCAAGAAGATAATATAAAAAATTGCAAAACAACAAATGGATATCACTACTGGGTGTAGAAGGATAAATTAAAGTTTTAATCAATATAGATTATGCTCAGCTTATGCAATATATAATATATTTCATACAAATATTGCTTTATGCAAACCAGGTTTGTGTAAAAGACAGCTATACCCCATCCTTGCATTGCATCACTTATTTTGCTAATGACACAGAGAGACAGACAATGCCATTTACAAAAAAAAAATTTAAATTAAATGTAAAAATGAAAGGAAGGCTCCAAGCACCATAACCACTACAGTTCACTGTAGTGGTTATTGTGGCAAGATTTCTAGCCACTGTAAGTAGTGAAACAGTATCTTAGCTAGGGTCTTCCGATTGCCCCTCCCAATCTTCACTACTATCATCAGATAGCCAGAAGTTTCAAAGCATCTTGAATTCCTGACAATTCACACAGGAATTTGAGACAAGTCACCTCTGGAGAATCAAGACAACTCCTGGTGAAGATCTCCAAAGCTCAGTGTTCAAAGATCTCCAAAGCTCAAAGACTGTTCTGTCCCATTCGGCTAATTTGACCCTCTGCCAGAGAGTGGAGACAATTCAGGGGACAGTCTTGACAGGTATTAACCTATTTTTTTTAAATGTAATTGTATTTTATGTATGAGAATAGATATTGACGCTATATTAATATACAATTTATAAACAAAATGCTATTCAAAACATCTAATAACACTTCCAGCATGCACAATATATTCCAAGGAGTTACTGTAGGGGTAACCGAGAGTCTCTGCAAAGCTAGGGCTAATTATTGTAAATCACTAATTCCTTAGGCTCAATTTCTCGTACTGTTCTGCTCCCAGCAAATCCTTAACTTGAAAGAAAAACAAAACAAAACGATATTCTACAAAGTACAGAAGTTTATTGAACCAATATAAAAGCAATGAGCTTCACATTTCTATAGTGTAAGGGTTTTAATTCATTTTCTAAACTAGTTCAATAAACTTAAAAAAGAATGTATAGAGTCAGACTATGTAGAAACCCAGGCTTCCCCAAACTCCGGCCCTCCAGATGTTGCTGAACTACAACTGATTCTCAGCCTATTTCATTCATAGAATCATGGGAGTTGTAGTTCAGCAACATCTGGAGGGCCAGAGTTTGGGGAAGCCTGATAGAGTATCTGATTTTTCAAGGTAACAATATGTTACACAGTTGAATGGATACAAACCGGGCACTAATTTGTACAGCGCTACGGAATCTGATGGCGCTACATAAATAATAAAAAAATAATACAAGGTTGTATACATTCGCTTGGAGCACAACAATACAAGAGATTGAGCCTAAGGATTTGGTGATTTACATATATTTGCCATTTCTTTGCGGAGGCTCCCGGTAATCCCTACAGTGACTCCTTTGAATATATGGTTTATCCAAATAATAATAATAATCCATCACGTGTTATTAGATGTTTTGAATAGCATTTTGTTTATAAATTGTATAATTAATATTTATATAGCGCTAGCATTTTTCTTTTTTTTTAGGACAATTTATGTTTCAGCTGCTTTTCATACACACATTTGTTATTTTATAAGTACAATTTTTACTTTTTAAATTTATCTGTGAAGAAGCTACATATAGCTCTATATATATATATATATATATATATACAAAACAAAAAATTTTAAAAAATATTTTTTTTACACTCATTTGATGCAAATTTCCATTCTGCGCAGCTTCTGCTGTGATTACTCACCAAACCAGGAAGCAAATCTGCCAATCACATTGGTTGATGTATTAAACCAATTATTGAGTTCTCATCTTCCACAAAACTGACTTCGAGCTTCTTCAGTTTGAAAAGACTGGAAGCAATGAAGGCGCCGCCGGCGAGACTCAAGTAAGTGTCAAGCCTAAAATATTACAGTGTTCTGCAGTAGTTATAGTGCTTGGAGTGCTATTTTTATGTTGTTGTTGCAATAATTGATCCCCTCCGCTCTGTGTTCTCAGTATTCATTTTCAAAATAAAAGCTGACAAGTCAATTCAAATTCTAGGCTGAAACTCGAAATTCAAAACCTGGTTTGATGCATTGTTCCTGATCACACCGCATGTTCCTAATCCTAATGATTTGGAAACTAAATGACGATAATTGCAGAGATGTTTGGTTTTATAAAACACACTTGTTAAAATTAGTACATGAATAGCATTATATTAGCAGGTTTATTCATGTGAAAGACTGTTGTTACATTAAAAGCTAAATGTTCTCGAAGGATCGGTTATGTGATTCTCAGAAAAAGTGCCATTGCTAAACTATTAATAAACAGAAACAGCATGGATTAGCACTGCGGTATTAAAGGGGAACTGTAACTTTGCAGGATGTTTGAAGGGACTCTCCGGTGCCAGGAAAATCAGTTTTCCTGACACTGTAGAATCCTGCAGTGCCCCCCTCCCTCCTGCCCCCCATCCCATGTTGCTGGAGGGGTTAAAACCCCTTCAGACACTTAACTGAATCCAGCACTGATGTGAGGGGTGGTATGTGTGTGTGTGAGGGGTGGTGTGTAGCAAAATAGCCACCCTCAATATCGCAAGATTAAGGATGGCCACCGAGGCTTGATTACAAAGGGCCGCGAGTCCGGCCGGTGACAAACTCGAGATTTACTGAAAGACCAGAGGGAAGGAAACAACTGCCCGGGAACCGGCAGAACCCGTGGAGGGTTAGGGATCAAGCCCTAGCAAGGCCCTAAAGCTCAGAATAAGGTAAAAAGTTAAAATAATATTAAAAAAACAACAACCCAGATGCCCATAGAAAAACCTCAGATGCCCATAGAATGGAAGCACAGCAAAACAAATTGCAAAGCCTATTGAAATACAATCCCCAAAACAGCCCCAAAGAGGCAATAGCAATACAAATAATGGAGAAGAGTAATACTCTGACCCGTCTTCTTGATGGAGCAGCAAAGAAAGAGGAAGTGATGAGGTCACTATGCCAATCTTGTGATTGGTTCTTTCTATGTGTTTCGTTGCTGTTGTGGAGCAAGTAAAGAGAGATTATGCAAAATACGAAGCCTCCTGTCGTGGTAAAATTAAATGTTTTACTCTGAAAGGACCAATATTTTAGATTAGTAAAAGAAATATATATTTATGTTATATATATGTTTATATATAAATTAAAGGACCACTATATATGTTTTCCTGGCACTATAGTGCCCTGAGGGTGCCCCCACCCTCAGGGTTCCACTCCCGCCGGGCTGAAGAGGGTTAAACACTTACCTTTCTCCAGTGCCGGGCTCCCCCGGCGCTGAGGACTCTCCTCCCTCTTCTGCTGTCATCGGCTGAATGCGCATGTGCGGCAAGAGCCACGCGCGCATTCAGCCAGTCCATAGGAAAGCATTCTCAATGCTTTCCTATGAACGCTGGCGTCTTCTTACTGTGAAAATCACTCCATAGACAAAAACAGCTTAGCTGGAAAATGAGGTCCATCCCATAGACAGAAACAGCCAAGCTGGAACATGAGGTCCACCCCATAGACTAAACAGCACAGCTGGAACATGAGGTCCACCCAATAGACTAAACAGCACAGCTGGGAAACTACATGACTAAAGAATTATTTCCGCCCTGTAATTTATGCCTACAATTTGCTATTGCACCAGTATCCCCCTCCCCCCAACAATGATTTTCTAGTGGGCACAGTTGAGCAGAGTTCTCTAATTATATTCAGAGAATGAATATTTTAAGTCTCTGCTGTCCACACCAGAGAGAATGAAAAATAATTTTTTTTCCAGAGAATTACATTCTTTTATCACCATGGGGGGTTTGAAAAGCAAGAGGTTAGGTAGGAGGGTTAAGGGAAGAAGGAACAGAGGGGGGTCTCCTTGCATTAAACCATTATTAAAAAATATAATATGGAACAGCATGCAGACACCAAGGTGACAGATTTAGTGTACAGAATGTATTTATTAAACCATGGCTTAATCTTCTTTGGCTTCACTGATAGTTCATTGCTATCCCTTGTAATTATACAGAAGGATGCTGCATCTTTTAAGTAATGAAGAATACATTTCTATTACATTTACTGCCAACTGACATTGGAATTCTTATTTATCGAGCCCTTGAAGGTACTTCAAAAAGAAAAAAAAAAAGCAATCGTCGTACTTAAAATATGATAATAACTCTTAGAAGTATGATACCATTAATTATTACTTTCATTCTTGCCTTGATCCTCATCTTTTGTTACTGCTTATCTCAAGTCTTTGAGGATTTTTACTAGGAATGCACTAAATACATCTAAGGTTAGAGCATGTTTGTAGACAATCACTGAAGTAGAGTTTCTGGAATATTTGTTTGAATGACAAACAGTCTAATATGATGGAGCAGAACCATTAAAAACGTCAAACCATCTGATAACACAGTGGTAGGTACATTCTCTTCAGTATCCCTGTTGAGGATGCAACAAAAAAAATAAAACCAAAACATGGCTGGGTCCTCTAATGATATGGAGAGAGGGTCCTCTAATGATATGGAGAGAGCTTGGAGACCAAGAAAAATGGTTAATTCCTGACATGGAAAATCTTGGATGAGTGATTATGGGAACTTTGTCGATTTTGTGTATCCAGTAGGCAAAGGACTTTCACAAAACCTCACACATATAACTCTATAACACCTTCTGGTTTGTGGCTTCTACTCGAACACACTACTTTGAATAAAAAAAAAAAAATCCCCAAAAAACAACATTGGATCTTAACATGTTGTTAGTTCCTTAGGTTGGAATACATATTAACCACACAAATATTAAAATCTACTGGTCGCCAAAACGGTCTTCAAGTAGTAGGAGAGTGGCTGTGAAGAAACAGACCTGTCTATCACGTCTATAGAAAAAGTTTATAATTTTAAGACCTGAGTAATTTTCCGAAATCCCCAATATTTTTTGGCATTTTTACCAAACAGCTATTTAGTTGGTATATACAAACGTACATATAACTAATTTGCAGTTACCAGAGCACATGGGAGGGAAATGTGTGCTTGCAAAGTACCAGTGATCGTTCTTTGAGTATGAACCACAAAATAACTTGATACACTTGCGGTTTCATTGGGTAAGAATGAAGGATGTTGGGCGTTTAGAACAGACATTTATAGAATGCTGAATCAGCAAATATATTTATTGGACCATGAACCATGCCCTGCGATACTCAGTATGTGTTGGGATGACAGGCTAAACAACTTATATATTTTCACCCAAAGACCCACGCTGGAAAAAAGATTAAAGGTTTTAAAAAAAAAAAAAGCGGTTTATTAAAAAAAATTAATGTACATACGATACATTTGTTACACATAAAAAAAAAAACAGTTAAAATGTTAAGATCACAATGAAATGATCAGTTATAAACACTGGGTGTACCATTGTTTAGAAAACAGACAATTAAAATTATGAATCACTTGAGATTATATGAATAAAAAAAATAGAAATATAGATACAGAGAATAAAGTGAAATAATAACATTAATACATTGTTGAATCTCCCCAAACATTTAAAATTTAAAAAGTTTAAAATACTAAAGCATTTATTTAAAAAAAAAAAAAAAGGCCAATGCACCATTTGTGACACATCTAAGTAACCCCTATTTTACTGAAATTATTTATTATTCCTGTTATAAACAGATAACCCCCCCTCACAGCCAACCAATGGAAAAAATGAGATTAGGTGAATGTTACATATTATGATATAGGAGAGGTCTAAACCCATAAGAACATTGCATTTAAAGTGAACCTGCCGTGACAAGTTCACTTAAAGTTCTCTTTATGCAGTAATTCTAACATTAATCAAACTGTCCAGTATCATTTAAAGGGATTCTAATGTGTAAGGAATACAAAGTTGTACTCATACTATAATTCCATCAGGACGTCCAGCATCAGTTAGGCGACAAAAAATCGCTTAACCACCAGGAAGTGCCTTATTGGCTGTCTGATTGATGGCCACTAGAGGCAGTCTTAGTCCTGCAATGTAATAATTACAGTTTCTCAAACAAATCAGACTACATGCTTCAGACTGGACAATGCAAATTCTGCATACCATAAAAAACATGCAACAAAACAATGTATATTAAAAGTACATGACATTTTGAAGCATTAAAAAAAACCTTTTCCTTCTACAAAAATATATATATATATATATATATATATATATAAATAAAATCAACAATTAAAATAGTTTAGAGACACATTTAAAAAATGTACAAAAATAAAACAAATAAAAACCCATTATTTTCCATTGATTAGTGCAAAATTGTTTTCTTCTAATGGGGAGCCTATTTAAACTAAGAAAAAAAATTGCAAGAGACTTTTCAGCATTAGCGGGAAAGTCCAGAAATGCAGTAGGATCCTATATATTTGTACACCACCCAGTATTGAGGGCGAACATGATGCTTGACATATGTCTTCTGCAGAAAAGGGTCAATTAACGACAGCGTCCCAGGACTTTAAGGTACTGATGGACGTACTGAGCAACAGACCCTAGAGTCACTAAAAGAGTTAATATGTGCTTATGTACAATGATGCTTCTTTAGAAATGGATATATAATAGAAAGATATTCCTTTAATAAAAGCACATACAATAGTCAGGCATATAAAGTGGTTAGCCTTAAGAAATACGTTTCTCTTGCTTTGGTATAAATAGAAGCTATTTGCCTGACCGACTCAATGCTTATTGCATATTCAGAAAAAGGAAAGACCTGAATATTTTTCAAGGGTGCTTTGAAAATGAAGGCTTTTGGCTTTTTGAACTAAATTCATATTAAATAAAATATTCTTCAAACCAGCTGTCAATGACTAAAAAATATCCCAGGATTTACAGGGACTTTAGCATAAATTGACATGTAGATATAACAAGTAAGAAGTAAATCCTGCTGTGATGGGAAAAAAATGAACAAATTGGACAGAAGTAGGCAATCGTAGCTATACAGCTGCAGATTTTCAACATATATGTTCTTGTCATAAGGACTACTGGACCTTAAGTTCTTATTAAGGGTTTGTTGGCGCACACACGGATATATAATGATAGGCAAATGGTAGTGCATGTAAAGATAAAATGTTGCGTGCTATTGGAGGGTCTAGTTAAATAGGGATATAAAGCAGCCTTGCTAGTCAATGAGATATGAGAGCACCAAGATACATCAGACAGAGCTTGCAGCTCAATCCCAGAAGGCAATACAGATGGTCATGGGCACATCATTCTGTGGTTCATCTCGGTAGCCAGATCCGGAAGTAAACTAACATTAATATATAATACACTTGTGTGATGTATTGATTACAATTTAATACTTACTTAAAATGGACATTATTAGGCTGACCGGCCCAGTTACCCAGTAAAATCAAGAAAAGAGCTAATAGGTTTGTAACTAGCAGCCAAATAGCTCTCTGGACCCAGGAGAATTGACATGGAGATTGCAAATGTTATAACAAAATAAATAATGCAAAAAGGTACCAAGAACCGAATAGTCCCCCCAGATATTTTTTAAATCTTTATTTCATAAACCACAAAATAAAATAGGCAGCCTCCATCAATCAACGTGGTTTGTGTTTTACTCTCTAGTTACCATTACTACTTCATAGCATGGTAGTGGTTATGGTTCCTAGCGTGGCATGGTGCCGTGGTTACGTTTTTAATAATTTACCACTTGCTAGGTAAGGCACACAACATGTTACGTGGGGATTGCTGCTTATTATACACAGTGCTTTGTGAAATAAAGAAAATTTACGTGAGGTCCTTACGATTTGTGAGTTGCGTTGGGCAGACTCAAGCAATGTTGAGAAGTGGTAATATGCCTTAGCTCTATGAGTTTAGATCTCCTAATGCTTTGACTCTATGTGTAACATAACATATCCATCTAAATAGAGATATTAAAATATAAAATGTACATCACATGACTAAAAGAAAAGTAATATCTCTTTATCATTGAGTATTCACGAAGGAGACCAGGAAATATCAGCCTTGACTTTCGGGAGAGTTCCACACACCTATCGATGGTGGCAGCAGTTGGTTGGTCCATAGTTTTCTAAATCATTAAGAAAAACCAGCTCATGGCCATTGTAATTATTGAGAATTAAACAAAATGTGTGACTTGCGCGGGGGGCTTTAAGTTCCAGGTTAGAGAAGATGGAAAAAATATTTGGTAGCCACACAGCACATTTCTTACTGACTCTACTCTTTTTGTTTTACTGTATCTACTAAGAATTTACAATGTTATTGAGTGGTGTATTAATCTATCAACTGAGCATGTTGACAGAATGTCATTTTATGCAGAACAACTACATGCCTGTAATAGATACGTCCAACTACAACTGTCTGTTCTGTGACCTCCCAGACTGTCTCACAACATTGTTTTCTGATATCGCTGTCTCCAACTTAAACATAAAAAATGTAACTTAAAACAAATGGAAACCTAGAAAATCAAACAGAAAAATGTATACATTTGTGATAATAAAAGCCTGGGGCATTTCTTCATATATTCAAGGTGGCCAGATGCCTTCTTCTGATTGTCCCTGCACAGTGTCTGAAAATCAATTGCTTTCAAACATCAGCACAAACACAGTCCACAGTGATCAGAAGCCCAAAAGAGGACTTGTGAGAAGCTCTGGCTTTGATGACGGCTTGTCCTGTTTTTAGGGATTAGGAACAATTGGTGTGCTTTGAAAATTGGTTGCTGTGTTGTTGTATCCGAGCTTCTTTAGATCCTTGGTGACCACATTGAAGGTAAGGGTGACAAATCCTTGTGACCTCACTCTTGTAACTGTAAGATAAACGAGTGCAGAGTTACAAATACTTTATCGTAATTTTCAGAACTTTGCAAACAATGCACTCAGAGAAACACACACACACAGAAAAAAGGAATAGTGTGATTCACAGATGTTTTGCACTGCTTGTTGGAAACAAAAGTAAACTAAACACAAATTTGTCCAAAAAGCAAATAATTAAAGGGACCCTATAGTCACCAGAACAACTACAGCTATTTGTATTTGTTCTGGTGAGTAGAATCATTCCTTTCAGGATTTTTGCTATGAAGACTGTCTTTTCAGAGAAAATGCAATGTTTACATTACAGCAGGGATAGGCAACCTTCGGCACTCCAGATGTTGTGGACTACACCCCCATAATGCTCTTACACTCATAATGCTGGCAAAGGATCATCTGAGGTGTAGTTCAAAACATCTGGAGTGCCGAAGGTTGCCTATGCCTGCATTACAGCTTAGTGATAACTCCACTTGCCACTCCTAATATGGCTGCTAGAGGTGCTTCATTGGGCAGTACTGCCTAGTGTGCAGCACTGCCATTCAGTGTCTCCAACCTCTACATGGAGACACTAAGCTTTCCTCATAGAGATGTATTGATTTAATTCATCTCTATGAGGAGATGCTGATTGGCCAGGGCTGTGTTTGACTTGTGCTGGCTCTGCCCCGATCTGCCTCTTTGACAGTCTCAGCCAATATTCTGATGATTTCAAAAGACAGAGGCAGACAGGGGCAGAGCCAGCAGCTTCAGACTTGGATATTAAAGTAAGATTTTACTTTATTTAGGGAGACAAGACGGGAGCAGGGGGGCCAGATGGTAGTTTTAAGACTGTAGGGTCAGGAATACATGTTTGTGTTCCTGACCCTACAGTGTTCCTTTAATTATCTCTCTATCCTGCAATTGTTATTACTATCTAAATACAGTGGTCAGACCATGAAGTTATAACATTTTGCCTTCAAGCCCAGTTAAAGGAAACATAGTGAAAATATGTTGTAATACTATTTTCATAATATAAAATTTACCAACTACCAGATAACCAACATAACAGCTGGTATTTACTAGAAAAAACATTTGACAATGTTATACCCTTCCTAGTTTGTTTGGCCTTACACAGATCTAATTACACAGATCTAATAAAAAAGGAACACGGGGCGAATCATCTAGGAATTCGGGGGTTATTGCCCTGCCTGCAGTATCTTTAGTATTTGTTCATTTTTCAGAGCAACAGGTGCAATTCTCAGCAGGACCAACTCAGCCTATTATCTATCTGAGGTTTGATGAAATGAAATACCACCGAATTGCGCCATAACAACAACAACTATATCTGGGAAATAAATGGGCCCAAATATTGGAAATATCTTCGTCATCGTAACTCTGATCAAAAAGCACCTGCAGTGATCTTTAAAGCGGCTCTGTCATTTTTCGTTTTTCTTTTGGTCACTTTATTTTGATTGACTAAACTTCCACCTTGCCACTTGCATATGTATATTTAATATCTTTTCCTCTTTGTGCATGATTTTAGTACATGGGTGCAGCCACTTTGTCCTTCTCTGCTCATGATGTTTGCATTCTGGCTTTCTGTGGGATTGATTTTACTGATGGATTGTGGGTAAGTATTACTGACAACTGAAACAAAACCTTGCTACACATTAATGAATTACTTTATTAAAAATATATTCAGACTTGCATATTAGTAGATTAGAAACATTTATTTGGGGTGACAAAGCCACTTTAAAGTGTCCCTGATGGTACTTTCAAATACTCAAACTATATCAAAATTAGTTGTAATTACTGTTTAAATATCGGACAATTGTGAATGTTTTTAAGAGTGGAGACGGTATTTTTAGAATTATTTATTAAACACGGGTTTTGTATGTTTGGTTTGTATCCATCAATTATATAAATATAAATGTTTTGTAACAGATTGATAGATGATGCAAATAGACAGGCAGATGATGGACAGACAAACAGAATATAAATTAAAAATATGAATGACCTGGCAGATTATCATTTCATTTATAGAAAACATTTTTAAAACTACCCTTTTCGTACTATAGACTTATTTATGATTAAACCAGAACATTTAACTAGAAATACAGTCAACACTACAATCCAATCATTTTAACATGCTACATTACATACATATATAGCTTAAATCCACACAATCATTTTATGTTCAATTTGTTTTTTCATGGAACACACCAATGTGTTTTATATTAAGATGAATGTGAGAGGTAATATCTCAATATATCTCAATTCCAGCTCCTTATAGGACATAATTGGATGAAATGAGTTCCTTCCTTTCTGAATTCACCATCTGCAGTTGAAATGCGAAAGCTGGGCTTGGAATTACTCACCAGCCCACAGCTAATAAAAGAGGCACTTGTTTGT